CAAATTAGACATGGTGTCCTCACTGAAAGGGAAGGAAACAAATTACATTTAAATTTATAAATTAAAAAGGCCATTCAGGGAACAATTACTAATAAACTTTTGAAAGGGAAGTAGTTAAATGCTGAAATATTAAAATTCGAATTTGTGTTTAGAAAAATATAAAATAGTTTTTCCATTAAAGGCAACTTTTAGATCTCACAGAAGCTAAAAATTTAACTTGTTCAGCAATGGTCTCCCTGTTCTGTATGTTTCTCTAAAGTAGCTTTTCTTTTTCTTTTTTTGAAACAGAGTGTCACTCCAAGCCCTGGGTAGAGTGCAGTGGCATCACAGCTCACAGCAACTCCAAACTCTTGGCCTCCAGTGATCCCCCTGCCTCAGCCTCCCAAGTAGCTAAGACTATAGGCGCCCACCATAACCCCAGCTAGGTTTTCCATTTTTAGTAGAGACAGGGTCTCACTCTTGCTCAGGCTGATCTTGAACTCCTGAGCTCAAGCAATTCACTGGTCTCAGCCTCTCAAAGTGTTAGGATTACAGGAGTGAGCTAAAGCACTGAGCCCTCAAGAAGCCTTTCAATAACAAACATGGGATTCGCACTAAAGAATGCTTCGCCAGTGCTAAGATCATTAAGCAAATGTATTTACTCTGGTTCCATAATTATAATTTGGTTTATGTAAACAAAAATTTGTGTATCTACCTCTTAAGAAAGGCAAGCTGAATTCCTACCTATCTATGACTATATTATTGTGGAAACCTCTGATGCCAGCAGTATGACAATAGTGATTTCATCCACTAGAGGGAACCTAGCTTATCACTGTTCCCTAAAGAAACAGAAGCAGGACAGGGAACGCAACAGGAAAGAGCGAGAAGCGTGTGTGTGTGTGTGTGTGTGTGTGTGTGTGTGTGTGTGGTGTTTGTGCTGCATTCAAGGAAAGAAGCAGATAGCAAATTAATAAAACTGCAGAACTAACCTCTCTGCCTCTTGGTCACTTTAATATTTGAATGAAGGAAAAAATCCAACCACATTTCAAAGCATTTCTTTTCCATGTGCAAAATAAGTAAAAAGGAAAAAAAAAATCCTCACATTTTTATAAAAGTCATTAAGACTGCTCTGTATCTCCCTAAAACAGTCTATTGCCTTAAGGGTCAGGGTTATTAGGCACTGCTCATTATAAGTATTACCTGCACCTAGAACTAAGTGCCTTCTAGGCACAAAACAAAATAGTATTATTGGAAAGTCTATGTAATTATTATTACTATTTTTTTCTGAGACAGTCTCAATTTGTCACCCTTGGTAGGATGCCATGGTGTCACAGCTCACAGCAACCTCAAATTCTTGGGCTCAAGCGATTCTCTTGCCTCAGCCTCCTAAGTATCTGAGACTATAGGTGCTCACCACAACACCTGGCTATTTTTAGGGATGGGTTTCACTCTTGCTCGGGCTGGTCTAGAACTCGTGAGCTCAGGCAATCCACCAGCCTCAGCCTCCCAAGTGCTGGGATTACAGGTGTGAGTCACCGTGCCTGGCCATCTACGTAATTCTTTAAAGCTCATTAAATGTAAGAACCACAGGGCCTGTGTGGTGGCTCACGTCTGTAATACTAGCACTCTGGGAGGCTGAGGCGGGTGGACTGCCTGAGCTCATAGGTTCAAGACCAGCCTGAGCTAGAGCAAGACCCTGTTTCTAAAACACAGCCAGGCACTGTGGCAGGCACCTGTAGTCCCAGCTACTTGGGAGGCTGGGGCAAGAGCATGGCTTGAGTCTAAAAGTTTGAGGTTGCTGTGAGCTATGACGCCATAGCACTCTACTAGGGGCAACAAAGTGAGACTCTGTGTCAAAAAAAAAAAAAACAAAAAACTATAGGTAAAGCTTTTAAGGCAGCTGTTGGGAGCAGAAACTCAGTCATTAGTTACCAAGTTGCCTTGAAATGAGAACAAATCAGCTTTTCTTTTTGTTTGAGACAGAGTCTCACTATGTCATCCTCAGTAGAGTTCTGTAGCGTCACAGCTCACAGCAACCTCAAACTCTTGGGCTTAAGTGATTCTCTTGCCTCAGCATCCCAAGTAGCTGGGATTACAGGCGCCTGCCACAATGGCTTTTTGTTACAGTTGTCATTGTTGTTTAGCTGGCCCGGGCTAGGTTTGAACCTGCTAACCTTAGTGTATGTGGCCAGTGCTATAACCACTATGCTACAGGCACCAAGCTGACAAATCAGCTTTTTATATTTAAAACATTCTTTTAGGCTCGGCGCCTATAGCTCAACCGGCTAAGGCGCCAGCCACGTACACCTAAGGTGGCGGGTTCGAATCCCCAGCCCGGACCCGCCAAACAACAATGACGGCTGCAACCAAAAAATAGCCGGGCGTTGTGGCGGGCGCCTGTGGTCCCAGCTACTTGGGACCTGAGCTGTAATGCCACGGCACTCTACCCAGGGGGACAGCTTGAGGCTCTGTCTCAAAAAAAAAAAAAAAAAAAAAAACATTCTTTTAGTTACAAAACAATAAAGGCTCATTATAGAAATTTTAGAAAACGCAGGCTCAGCGCCTGTGGCTCAAGTGGCTAAGGCGCCAGCCACATACACCTAAGGTGGCGGGTTCGAATCCAGCCCAGGCCCACCAAACAACAATGATGGCTGCAACCGAAAAAAAAATAGCCAGGTGTTGTGGCAGGCAGCTGTGGTCCCAGCTACTTGGGAGGCTGAGGCAGGAGACTCACTTGAGCCCAGGAGTTGGAGGTTGCTGTGAGCTGTGATGCCACAGCACTCTACCCAGGGGGACAGCTTGAGGCTCTGTCTCAAAAAAAAAAAAAAGAAAAGAAAATGCAAATAAACTTAGAAGATTTTGAAACCACCTTTAACCTCAGCCTCCCAAAATAACTACTGCATGTATACATATCCTTTTTTCCCTATGCATACAATCATCTATATATATTTCCTTTGTTTGTTTTCTGAGACAGAGTCTCACTGTATTGCTCAGGCTAGAATACCATGGCCTCAGTGTAGCTCACAGCAACCTTTAACCCTTAGGCTCCAGTGATCCTCCAGCCTTAGCCTCCTCAGTAGCTAGGACTACACATGCCTGCCACACACCCAGCTAGTTTTTCTATTTTTAGTAGAGATGGGGTCTTGCTCTTGCTGAGGCTGGTCTCAAACTCCTGAGCTCAAGTGATCCACCCACCTCAGCCTCCCAGAGTGCTAGGATTACAGGCGTGAGTCACCACACCAGGCCATCATGCAAACTTTTAATCCATAAAAGTTGAATCTTGTTAACTGTTTTCATTTCATATCTCTCTCCATAAAATACACATCTATACACATGTATTTTTATATATAATTTTTAAAGGTCACACAGTATTTCATTATACTGCACCATGATTTCCTTAAACTGTAAGGAAACGTGAAAGCATCCTCTGCTGTCACTATTTCAGCAGCTGCCGACTGTTCAGTGCAAACATCCCTTTAAGTCGTTCCTCTCTTCCTATGTGATGCTGCCATAAAAGCAGCTCTGGCACTGGTTTCCCCGGAAAAGCCCTCACTCTAAACACAGTCGCACAGACAGAGAAAACTCAGAGTCGCTTCTGGCTCCATCTCCTCTGCCTCAGGAGCCCCTCATCGTCCTCCTTCCGGCACTCCGACCATGTCCTCTTCTGCCCTCCTTCTCCCGGCATCTGTCCTCACACTCACTGACACCTCCCGTTTCTTCTCTCTTCCCTCGCACGCACATGACTTTCCCCTCCTCCTAGTACACATCCTGACTGTGTAGGTGTGGGGGGAAAACTTCCCCAACAACCCCCACCCCCAACTGGTATTTCAAAAACACATGGGCCTTTATTTTGACAATTAAATTCCTGTTACTGCAGAAACTCTGTCCAGCTCTGCTCCCAGCACTGGAAGCCAGCAGGCTTGCCACGGCATCCTGGTGAGTGACAAAAACAGTGCAGGCCCCTCTCAGAGTGCACCCTACATGTCCCAAGGGTTAACAACCTAATTCGTCCTTATCTTCCCCATCCACACTCATCACAAGACACCCTGCCCAGGAAGGCAAGAACGAGGGGTCATTGTTAAGACTGAGTGACTGAGACAATGCACAGTGCTGTTCTCCAGACCTGACAATGTGACTGAGGCAGGGGCACTGTGACCAGAGAGGGGCACGAGATGGCCTCTGTGCTTTCTGGCACAGCTGCCTCCTTGTGCTATGGAAAAACAAAGCCCCATCCCAAACCCTCTCCCCAGGAGCAGTAGGGAGGCAGATGAGCTCAAGGTGCGGCCAAAAGACGCACACACCCCTGGAGGACCTTTTGGATCCAGTTCCTGGCTATTATTTCCTCACCCAGGTACCCTAAGGCTGGAGTAACAATCAGCTTTTTCTTAAGACGTAAAGTGTGATGAGCATCTGAGAATGAGGTATCACCCCGAAAATGCCATCTGCACAAGAAGCTTGGGAAGAATCTCAGTGGCTTAGATCTCTAATCACAAATCAGAAGTTTAAGCAAACTGGTGAGTCGTGGCATTTGTGTACCAAGATGGTAACACACCCTGGCCCATCAGGAGCTGTGCTGTTCCTCCAGGCACTGGGGAGGAGGCCCTTCTACAGAGGTGTTCACGGAGGGCAAAGGCATATTTGTTCACTGAGTTGGCACACACTTCCCCACAGAAATTGTTCACATGCATACTATACTTTCTGGCAAAATCATGCCTCTCAGAGTTGATGATGAAGGCTTTTCTCAAAGATCAGAGCCAAGAGCCAAAAGAAAAGGCCACAGAAAAAACCAGAATCCTTCTCTTGGGAGTTCAAAGTCTTGTTCTACCCACCAGCTTACATTAGGCTTTGAAAGTGGAGGAGTCTCCGGAAGTTGCCGGAGGTCAAGAGAAGGGCAAAGGTTTCTTTATAGCACTCTGGTGTTTTTCCATTCTAAACAAATAAAACAGAAATATGACAAAAAGAACCCAAAACTTAATATACAGTTTCAGAGAACACCCCAGATTCCCCAAAGCCAGACTCACTCTGTGGCCACTGTCTGGGGGATGGGTTCGTCCAGTAGCTCCAAGCTGTGCAAGATCCAGTAGCAGAGCCATGGGCGGCTGGCATCCAGACACTGCGGGGGGAGGGGAGGAGACACACCCCTTATTCAGAGCCATCCCAAGACACTGCTAACAAGGCCACATCTGTCTTACCCCTGGCATCCTGGCAAGGTCAAGGGGGAGGAGAGCACCCTTGCTGAACAATGATTAGTGAATGAAGGATGTTTGGCTTTGTGGTCCAGCCAGAAGCTGAAATGACCATCTGTGAGAACAGACAATGGGATTTTAAAAGCTGACCTTGAACCCAATAGGTACTTCTATGGCAGGCATGTAAGGTACACTGAGCAGAGGACTTCTTACATGCCAGGAAATTAGGGGTTCCTAGAGACCAAGGAGATACATAATCCGAGAAAGGGATTTCCTAGATTAATTCATTCACTAAAATGTTTGGTAAGTGTCTACTTGTGCCAACCACTATATTAGCACTGGGGGCAAAATAATGAATAAAATCTGGCTCCTATTCTTGAGACGCCTGGGCTACAGTGTGTGTGGTCATCTGCAGAGGACAAGGGCACTAGAGAGATACCTAAGTATAAGTTCCCTCATGTCTTTCTGGAACAAGGCAGAGCATGACACATACAGGTACTTGGATGATGCTGTGACAGGCAGAAACAGACTCTCAAGATATTGGCTAATCCTGCCTGGGGGTGCTGGGAAAGGCTTCCAAAGGTGACATGTGAACAGATCCCAATCCTAATTCAAGCTGTGAGTGATTACTGTGCAGTCAAGACTAGGCAGGGAAGGGAGCCGCACTGCGCCAATTTTACAGACTGAAAGAACATCATAAGGGCTAGAGAGATTGATTTTTCCAGATTATAAAAATAGTAAATATCAAAAACTGAGACAAGAATCTAGGTTTTAAGACTCTCCCTCCAGTGCTTTTGCTTTTGGCCAAGCTGCCCTCTTCAAAAACATGTTGATGTCTGCTCCCTGGGGGGCAGGTCTGGTGGGCAACCAAACGTACTGCCCCGTGGCCTCACTTTAGTCCCCACTTTTCCTCTTATTAGCCTTGTGCCTTTGAGCAAATTCTTAATCTTGCGATGCCTGTTTGCTTACCTGTAAAAAATAAAGACTGACCTACCTCTTGGAGTAGTTATGAGGGCTAAATGAGTGCATGACAAGCTTCTAGTCCACCGTTTAACAAATTGTTAGATGTTATGGAATTAGCTGGGTTAGGGCTGACTGGACCCTACCCACGGAGGCCTGGAGATGAGGACTGAAAACTCACGGATCCCAGCTGTACTGTGCCTGTGCATATTTTTATTTAATTGGAATGGGTTGCAACATTTAACTGTTAGGAGACACACATAAATATATGGATTTCTGACTTGATTTGTAAAAAAAGAAGGCCTAGGAACCCTGGGTCTGTGTTCCCGGATGGCAGCAATGGGTGGGAATGGGGTAAAGGCTTGCAGCCTCCAGTTCACCTCGGTCTCCACCCAACCAGCTTGGGCCCTACAGGCATTTGAGTTGGCCAAACTCTGCCACAAATGCTCAACTGTAGAACTCTAAATAAAAAGCAGATTAAAAGTAGAGCTGCTCTGTGTGAAGTGGGGCAGGAGACTGGAGGCCTCTAGTACATATTCTCCCTTTCCTGCCTCTCAACCCCACCCAACTCCCATCCTCTCCACCACCGCCACACCTGAGGTTGCTCTGTGAGTCCCAGGGCTGGTGGAGAACATGAGTTAAGGTCTGCTCTGAGTTCGGGCCTACAGTATCAGCCTGCAAGTAGTTCTCTCATGGGGGGGATTCACATGCTGGTCCTCTGGCTAGTGGACCAGTTTAGATCAGTTTACAGGGCAAGGGGTCAGGGACGAATAGGTAACTGACTTTTACCTGGCTGTTTAAGGCTCTAGAACAGGGGTCCTCAAACTTTTTAAACAGGGGGCCAGTTCACTGTCCCTCAGACCATTGGAGGGCTGGACTATGGGCCCTGGGACGAGTCGGCTGCTAAGTAGGACAGGCAGCGGTCGCAAAAACACCCAGCGGGCTGGATAAATGTCCTGACGGGCCGCATATGGCCGGCAGGCCGTAGTTTGAGGATGCCTGCTCTAGAAGAAAACATTGAACCCCACAGCTGTGATCTAATAGGAGAAGAAAGCCCAACCCCACAAAGGGTGCTCTGCTAGTTCTAGAAGAGACCTGACTCTGCCCCTTTCAGAGGTGGAAGTCACAGCTCTGTGACAGCGCCCTGCTTCCTGCCATGATACCTAGAATGAATCTGCACCAGGCCAGGCCCAGCAGCCTTTTACTTCAAATAGAAAAAAAGGAGGAACACATGCCTGGTAGCTTGACAGAAAGAGGTCCCAGGTGGCATATTTACCTCATAGGCATCTGTCAGTTGTCGGAGGCCCCTCTTCAAATAATGGAAGTGCTTCTCCCTCTGTAAAATGAGCCTGGAAAGACAAGGAACTCATGAGCCCATTCTTTTTTTTGAGACAGAGTCTCAAGCTGTCGCCCCCGGTAGAGTGCTGTGGCATCACAGCTCACAGTAACCTCCAACTCTTGGGCTCAAGAGATTTCTTGTCTCAGCCTCCCAAGTAGCTGGGATTACAAATGCCCACCACAACGCCCAGCTATGTTTTGGTTGCAGTTGTCATTGTTGTTTAGCTGGCCCAGGTCAGGCTTGAACCCACCAACCTGGGTGTACGTGGCTGGCAGCATAACCACTGAGCTACGTGTGCCAAGCCATCACGAGTCCATTCTAACAGCTTACACTGCACCCCACCATGTACACACGCACATGCACACGAGTGCACACCCAGCTGCGGGACGTCCTCTTGTAGTCACTGGATGGATACCCAGCAACTTCAACAGCTCCAGGGGCACCTACACCAGAGAGAAAAGGCCCATGTCTGAATGTCTCTCAAGTATCTGAAAATCGTGCCAGTAGACACTCTGAGAGTTTCCTACAGGAGGTGACATAGGGCTAACTGAAAGGCTGCAGTGAGCAGCCAGGCAGTGACAGTCCACCCAGAAAGTTCCTCCAGGATCTAAGAATAGGCATCTGTGGCTCCCATCCTGTAAATCTGAAGGCTTGTCACACCCCTGACAAAGCTGGCCACTGTCACTTTGGTCACTCCTTCTGGGATCACATCTCCAAGGTCTGCAGTCCTGCATCCTGCCTGACCCTGGGTTATCCATCTGTTACTCCCTCCCTAAAATTCCACCTCCCACGTGTGACCCACAGCCCTGGCCAGTCGCCGTCCTTGGCACTGATGCCAACAACAGGGGCTTTAAGATGGAATGTGCTGCCCATGGCCACCTGCACAGGCAAGGCGGAGGACAGAGGCAGCACTTCTTGGCCTTGCAGAAGGAGCCTGAGCAACTATGGAAGGAAGAAAAAAGAACAAAATGCCAGCACATTCACTGTCTGTGCCAACTACAGAAACAAAAGAGAATCCGCCCTTTTTCTAGGTAGTCAATTCAACAATTATTTGTCAAACTCCCACTGTACTATGTTCAGAATAAGATCCTAATGTCTTTCCTCAAAAAAAATCTAATTTGAAAGTGAAATAAGTACATAAATGTCTACAATACAAGGAAAAAAATTAGTAGGTTTCCTAAAGAAAAGATAAAATACTTTAGCTGGGTGCAGTGGCTTGCTTGGAAAGCCAAGGCAGGAGGACCACTTAAGCCAAGGAGTTTGATACCAACCTAGGCAACAAAGTGAGACTCTGTCTTTAAAAACAAACAAACAAAATACTAATGGGGGTCAAAAGGGAGGAAGGCATCTCATGAACAAAGGAATAATCAGGAAAGTTTATGCGGAAGAGGTAGAGTTTGAGATGATGGGCCCTGGTAGATGGAAAAATTTAAAATTACTGTGAAAGTAGCTGCAGGTAGCTAACAGCTACTGCCTTAAGTAGTGCAGGTACGGAGTGTACAGAGGAGTAATAGGTGGGGTAACCTGGCTAAATTTAGAAATGGAAGAGGACCCTTTTCACAGGGGTCTGGGATGAGAGCTGAGGAATTCCTACACAATTCAGTGGGCAAAGGGAGGCCCTTAAGGTTTCTGAGCTGAGAAAAAAATGACCAGAATTGTACTTTACAAAAAAGTGTCTGCCAGCAGTAGAATTCAGTTCGTGTTTATAAAGTGAACTGAGTGAAAGCTCCATGCTGGGCAAAGAACTGGGAGGAGAGGCTGGGTAAGAAGCCCTGAGGAGCTGGCCTGGTGGGAGACACTTAGGGCCCAAGCTACAGGGTGTTCCAGGTCACCCCTAAAGTTGCCACACACAGGGAAATTATAGTTAAACATGCCTTTATTTACAAAATATTCATGACAAAACTTTACAAAGAGGTAGCCAACACATAGAGGATATTTGTTAAGCTTTGTGATGAATATTTTGTAAATAAAGGTATATTTAACTACAATTTCCCATTTTTGCTATGTATGCAGACTTTTGGGACAGCCTATAGTGTGAGGCCCCACAATTAGCTGCCTTCTGGACACACAGGGCACTGGACGTGTACTCAGGGGAGGGTGTCAGCTGGGCTGCTAGAAGCGCATGAGGCTCAGGGTACACGTGCAGCTTGAGAGTCATTTACCTGCACACAGGTGACAGCTGACACCACAGGAGAACATGAGAGTACAAAGAGAAAGTCTGAACAGAGAGCTGAGGGAAGACCCATCTTTAAGGGCTTAGAGGACAAGGAACCAGTGAAGGAGAGAAGACAGTTTACACACGCAGGTGAAGGCCAGTGGCAGGGTCCTGTCCCAGGCAGTAATTCTCAAGCAGGGAATTCACAAAGGTATTCAACTGTGGCAGATGCGACAAAACCAGAGTGGCTGGTGACCTTTCAGAGCATTCAGGGCAGTAGTGAGAGCAAGAAGAGAAGGCCAGACTCAGTTTCTCTGTCAGGAAGGACCAGCCCAGTGAGGACTCAGGGAGCACTCCCTCGGTGTGGTGGAAAGTCCAGCGTGGGCCTAGATGCTGCTCTGCTCCCTCCGGTGATGGTGGATGAGACCACATATGACAGGCAGAGCCTTATCTGATATCTGATACACACTGTGTTCAGGGAAGCGTGGTGAGCTCTGACAGCCACAGGACGGCGTGGGGGATCAGAATACTCTTCCCAAGGCAGGCTGGGTGCAGTGACTCCTACCTATCACTAGCACTCTGGGAGGCTCTTCCCAAGGCAGGCTGGGTGCAGTGACTCCTACCTATCACTAGCACTCTGGGAGGCTGAGGCAGGTGAATCTCTTTAGCTCAGGAGTTCGAGACCAGCCTTAGCAAGAGTGAGACCTCCATCTCTTGCAAAAATAGAAAAACTAGCCAGGTGTCATGGCAGGCACCTATAGTCCCAGCTATTCAGGGGACTAAGGCAAGAGGATCACTTGAGTCCAAGAGTTTGAGGTTTCTGTGAGCTGTGATGCCACAGCACTCTAGCCAGGGCAACAGAGTGAAACTCTGTCTCCAAAAAATAAAAAATAAATTAAAAATAGAAAGAAACTATCCCCAAGGGGAACAGCACTGAGGCTAAGGCTAAAAGGACGTGCGTTAGCCACACAAAATGAAGAGCACATTAGAGTTACCTTAATTCAGCTGCAGCAGAAGTGCAAGGGCGTGAGCTGAGAGATCAAATGCTGAAAATGCCAGAGCTGGAGAAATCCATCAGGCAAGGTCCCCATAAAGAGGGAAGGAGTTAGGATACGGGTACAGCAAGAGGAGGGACAGTAAGGAGCCAGAAACAATGGGCGAGATGACCAAGCAGGCCAAATACAGGACTCTGGAGTAGGGGAGAGGAAACGGGAAACTCAGGCTGAGTGGCCTCAGGCTCCCCAGGAACTGGGCGCTCGCTGGATACTTGTGATCAGCCATGGTGCCAAACATGTTAGGGAATCCACACGAGATAACTATAAGGATTATACGGCAGTTTGTGAAGGCCAGTGGAGAGTCAGAGGTATACATTTTGGTGGAAGTCAGTCAGCAGCCTCAGGAGGAACCAAACCTGAAGACACCCTGACCTTAGACTCGCAGCCTCCAGAACTGAGAGAAAATAAACTCCTGCTCTTTAAGCTGCCCTACCTGTGGTGCTTTGTTACAGCAAACTAAGCTAACACCCTGAGCAGTCTTTCATTCTCAATTCACCTCTGTCTGAAACTTGTTTGTGTGTAGGAAATTTAAAAAAAAAAAAAAAGGCTAGGTCTGGTGTGGTGGCTCTTGCCCATAATCCCAGTACTATCAGAGACCAAAGCAGGAGGATCACTTAAGCCTAAGAGTTCAAGACCAGCCTGGGAAACACAGTGAGACCCCCATCTCTACAGAAAAATTTCCTTTTTTTTGAGACAGAGTCTCATGCTGTCACCCTGGGTAGAATGCTGTGGCGTCACAGTTCACAGCAACCTCAAATTCAGGCTCAAGTGATCCCCTTACCTCAGTTTTTCTATTTTTAGTAGAGACAGGTCTTGCTTTTGCTCAGGCTGGTCTCGAACTTGTGAGCTCAAGCAATCCACCTGTCTTGGCCTCCCAGAATGCTAGGATTACAGGAGTGAGCCACCACACCCGGCCTACAAAAAAAATTTTTTGTTAATTAGCCGGTTATGATGGTGAGCACCTGCAGTTCTAGCTACTCAGAAGGCTGAGGCAAGAGGATCACTTAAGCCCAGGAGTTCAAGGCTGCCGTGAGCTACAATCACACCACTGTACTCCAGCTGGGACAAAAGAAATGAGATACTTTCTCAAAAAAAGAAAGCAAAGCAAAGCTCAAGTTCTTGCCCCTTTTTTCCCTGAGCACATCAGCCTCCAAACCATGCAGTTAGGTGTAGGTGGGGCAGAATAAGACAGCTCCATGCAGGAGTTGAGGAATCCAGAGGTGGCATCCAGGGAGTCAGAGCTCAAGCGGACACAGAAGGGGTCCGTGTGATTGTGCAGCAGGGGGTAGGAGCAGTGATGAAAGAGGTAAATTTACCACAGCTACTGCAAGTTAGATTTCCCCGTCTGAGGAAGAACATTCAAACCCACACGCACTGGTAGCCATGTTAAACTGTCCTTGAGCATGAGCACACTGGGCACAAAGACCCTTCCCAGAACACCTGCGCCTGCCTCTCTGCAGCCCCCTGCTGCAGAGAGCCCACTGCTCTCCAGACACATGGGCTTCTTGGAGCTCTTTGCAGTCTCAAGGATTCAGCACGTGCTGTTCCCCCTGCCTGAAACCCTGACAACCCAGCTCAGCCTATAGGTCTCAGCTTAAATGCCACTTTGTTCGAGAGGCCTTCCCTGACTGCCCACCAAAATCAGATGCTCCCCATGATTTTCTCTCAGACTGTCCCAGGGATAACTCATGTCTGAGTTCATTTGTTCACTGTCCACCACTTCTAGGAGACTGAGAGCCCAGCAGAGTCAGGACCAGGGCAGCTTTACTCGCACCTGTCTCCTGGAGTCTGGCAGAGCCTGGCCCTATGCGGACGCCCCAGATACTGTTGCTGAGTCAATGAAGAAATGAATGGCTTCACATGAATACAGAAGAGTGAATAAAGCAAACACCCTTCCTCCCCCTCCACCTGGACCATCCCTGAGAATCACGCCTTTGATGAGACAGATGAGAAGACAGAGGATTCAGCCCATTGTAGTCTCCTGGGAACTTTCTAAACCCACTAAAGCCAACGGCCTCTCTACCCAAAAATCAAACATTTGGCACTAAGAAGCCACTTGAGGAAAGGTGAGCTTGTTTGTAAGACCTTGAAAAGAACAATGGGAAGGAATATAATTTGGGGGCTGAGTGTGGTGGCTCACACCTGTAATCCTAGCACTCTGGAAAGCTGAGGCAGGTGGACTGCCTGAGCTCACAGGTTCAAGACCAGCCTGAAAAAGTGTGAGACATCCATCTCCAAAAATAGCCAGGCATTGTGGTGGGCACCTATAATCCCAGCAACTTGGGAGGCTGAGGCAAGAGGATTGCTTAAGCTCAAGAGTTTCAGATTGCTGTGAGCTATGATGCCACAGCACTCTGCCAAGGGCGACAAAATGAGACTCTGTCTCAAAAAAAAAAAAGAGAGAGTGGCTCAGTGCCTGTGGCTCAAGTGGCTAAGGCGCCAGCCACATAGACCTGAGCTGGCAGGTTCGAATCTAGCCCAAGCCTGTCAAACAACAATGACTGTTGCAACCAAAAAAAAAAAAAAAAAAAAGCCAGGCATTGTAGTGGGTGCCTGTAGTCCCAGATACTTGGGAGGAGGAGGCAGGAGAATTGCTTGAGCCCAGGAGTTGGAGGTTACTGTGAGCTGTGATGCCAGGGCACTCTACCCAGGGCAACAGCTTGAGGCTCTGTCTCAAGATTAAAAAAGAGAGAGAGAGAAAAAGAGAGGAGTACATTTTCTAATTGCTGAAGACTTGGGAAATTCTAAAATAGCACCACATATAGGAATGGCCGAAAGCACCATGCTAAGTAGCACATGACCTGTATGAGGCCTGCTTTGGGAGCTTTAACTCTGAGTATTCAGGCTTCTGAGCCACGGTTGACATTTAACCTCCAGAGCTCTGTTAGCACAGGGACATCAGCAATATCTCTCACTTGTGAGGAATACCAGGTCTCTTTTCCTAAGAGAAAATAATTTTAAAATTATATGTGAGAGTGGTGTGCACACAGTCTATGCACCATAAGACTCTCATTAAAGCCATGGATGAGGGTAAATTCATAAAAGTATGGAACAGCAAAAATAACGACCCACAGGAAAGAAAAAATGAACTTTCATGGGAAAGCAGGATGTTATTAAAACCATTAAAAGCATGGCCAAAAAGCTCCTTGGGACTGATGACCCCATTCTAAGTAGAGTCACAGCCTTAGAGAGCCTTGAATCTCAGCCAGATCTGCTATTCAGCTTTGCCTCTGAAAGGCCAACCTGGCAACTGCCTACTTCAGCACCACTGCAGGCATCCCTGGCCCTGTGAGTGTGGTCAGTGGTGCTGAGAGTGTGTGCAATTCTGTCTCATCTGATCAGCACCATAATTTCACAAACACATACCATCAAGACTGACTACTAACGTCTGAATATGGATTTTAGCTAACACTAAAGGTTTATTCCTGCATTATACTGTCAGACCTTTAAACTACTAAAATGTTAAATATTGAATTGTGATAATAATTTAAAATTCTGATAAGTTTTCAGATTGATTCTTTTTTGGGGGGACAGAGTTTCATTATGTCGCCCTCGGTAGAGTGCTGTGGCATCACAGCTCACAGCAACCTCAAAGTCTTGGGCTTTAGTGATTCTCTTACCTCAGCCTCCCAAGCAAGTAGGTGGGACTGCTAGCGCCCACCACAATGCCTGGCTATTTTTTTGTTGTAGTTGTCTTTGTTGTTTAGCAGGTCCAGGCTGGGGTTGAACCCGCCAGCCCTGGTGTATGTGGCCCAAGCTCCAACCACTGAGCCACAGGCGCTGAGCCCAGATTGATTCTTATATCCTAAAATTTCATTCTATGTTTGGCTTCAGCCTTATATTGATATATTGATTTACATACTTATTCATTTGGCCAGAATATATATATATATATATATCTTTAATTATTAACTAGCATTCTTTAACACACTCATGTTCATAGGCAACAATGATAAAACAGGAAATTGTCCAATTCTTGAAACTAACCCAGAGCCCTGATACATTCTAATTCCACAAGTATCCATGCCAAAGAAGATCTTTGTTTTCCACCCACACCCGACCTAAGACCTCTGCATCAGGGCATTTCACTCCTCTGTGGTCTCCAACAGCACTGCCAGACAACTTCTTCCTCCCAGACTATCACCTTCCAGTCTCGACCTTCCAGTCTCCTTCACATCACAGTAAGAGTCAGAGTCCCAGGGCTCTGTGTACACAGTAGGTGAAAAAGGAATGTCAACTAATCCAAGGTTCCTCACGTGGAGAACATGGAGAGACTCAGAGCCCAACCAGGTGAGTTACATGGGAGTAAAACTCCTCTCAACAAGCCCCCTGCCCAGGGCAATCATGCCCCTCACCCTCACCAAGTCCCCATCTCCGGGGAGGCTCCACTGGCCCTGCTTGTGCACAGGGGCAGTGGAATTGCCATGGTGCCATCACATGTAAGACAGCTCATTCTCCTAAGCTGTTGAAATAAATGACACATTTTTTTTTTTTTGAGAGAGAGTCTCAAGCTGTCACTCTGGGTAGAGAGCCATGGTATCACAGCTCACAGCAACCTCAAACTCTTGGGCTTAAGCAATTCTCTTGCCTCAGCCTCCCAAGTAACTGGGACTACAGGCGCCCACCACAATGCCCAGATACATTTTTTGTTACAGTTGTCATTGTTGTTTTACCTGGCTCGGGCCAGGTTCAAACCCACCAGCTTCATTGTATGTGGCCAGTGCCCTACCCACTGAGCTATGGGCACCACCCTGCAGATTAACTTTTAAATTAGAAATGTTGTTTTGGGTCATGGGTTATGCCATTTATTATTGTTTAAGATAAGGGTTAATGTGGTTTTTGCTTTGAACTTTTATGTATAAAACAGTAGTTTTGGAAATGGAAGGGCAGAACAGTCTTGGAGAGGCTACTCTCACTCTTCTCCAGAATTGCTGGCCTTCTGATAATAAGAATAGCTGGACCTATCCCCCTCCCTGCATTTGGCTGACAGTGACAGGTGGCCAGTACCTCTTTATCAGGTAACAAAAGTGACATGGCTGGAACCATCTGCAATATTACAGTAAGCAGAAGTTCACAGAGACTAACTTGCCCGGTTTCAGTGTGTCCAAAGGCCTCAGAAGTCAGGAGACCTGATAAAGGAGGTGAGCTGGACTGCAAGCCCTGCAGCTTCCCACCTAGAGTGAATCAGTCAGCAGCTTAACCACACTTTGTTCAGGGGCTGTCAAAGAAAAGTTTCCTATCATTAAGGGAAAATGGTGACCACACACAGTTTTGGACTACTGATTAATCAATTCTCAAAGCTGGAAATATAACACAGGACGATGTCAAAGAAACAATTTGTGCCTAGAAGAGAAATACTAATAAAGGAAGGAAATAACCTTATGAAATTCTAGTGTGATACATTACAAAAGCCTGGAAAAAAGAGAAAAGAAAGCCTCCAATTATCAAACTTCTTATAATTCCCTTTTTGGAATTTCTGACCTCACAAGAGGTTAGAAAACTTCAACTTCCTAATATCCAAGGAATACAAAAGGGATTATATTTTTCTTAGAAATATCATCTTTGGGATACACTGCACAATTACCAACAAGGACCAGGCTGGGAGAAGCTCAAACTTCTCATGTTTTTCCATCACATGATAATTAACATCAAAGGAATCCAACCTTTGCCACTCCCCTGGACTCTGTTTCAAAGAGAAATATGAAAGAGAAAAACTTGAGAGTTCTCATCTGAACCCAGAATGGCAAGACACAACTAAACAAAAACCTGGAATTCCTCTCCATCTTCAGACCTCAGACTTTAGGCTGTTGTGGCATCTCCAAGTAACACCTGGTGGCTCAGTTGGGGTGGATCGTGTCCTCTGAACAGCATTCTATAAAGCCATAGCACACCCAGGTAAGCCACAAGGTCCAGAAACACCAGCCTCACAGCTGATTCCACCCTCCACCAGCACCGCCCAGGTAGTCAGATACATTCAAGGTGAAAGGAAGAAGGCAACCCCGTGAGGCAGTGATCTCCCAGATCCCCTCAAATTCCTAACCACGGCTTACCTTGGTACAAGGTGGTTGAACTTGTAAGAACTGAAGACCTCTTGGATCTTTTCTTCTACTTTTGCCTAGTAAGGTTACAGGAGATAAGAGAGAAAACAAATGCAGATGAGACCTCTACCAACTTTTCCCCCTATTGCCACAAATGTTTTTTGGCGGGAATGGAAAAGGGGAAGGTGAGAGAAAGAATCCCCACCACCACCATGTTGGTATCACAGTCTACTCCAGTAACCTCATCCATAATATCCAAATTAATGGTAGTTGGGGTGTTTGGCTCCCTGGCACAGACTCAGGAATCAGATGAAGACAAATGCCTTTTGCTTGTGAAGGCTGCCAGAATAGGCCACCCCAAAACAGACCTCAATGGCATAAGGATTATTGTAAGCCTATTTTTTAAAGAAACTAAAGACAGAGGAGAAGCTCTGAAAGGGAAATTTAAATTAACAAAGGAAATCTCCATTTGCAAGGGTGTCACCCTATCTGTACCAGATGGGAAGAAAAATTAAATCATAAGAAACTCTAATCAAGAAAGCAGCACCTACTTAAATCTGAGTAACAAACCTCACTCCCATTTACCAAACTTTTCCTTGTCACCGCCCCATAAGTGGCCTCCTTGCTGTTTGTTTTTAGTTGAAGATGCCAAATAGACCACCTCTTTCAGTGTGAGGCTTTTGTTCCCTGAGTATCTACCACGGGTATGTGAGATATACACACTAAAGTTTCTGTTTGCTTTTCTTTTTCTTTTTTTTTTTTTTTGCAGTTTTGGCGGGGACTGGGTTTGAACCGGCCACCTCAGGCATATAGGGCCAGCACATTACTCCTTAGAGCCACAGGTGCCACCCGTTTCTATTGTTAATCTGTCTTTTGTTACAGGGGTCCCAGCCTAGAACTCAGAAGGGTAGAGGGAAAGTGATTTTTTCCCCCCCTACACTTGATTTATTCTTGCCTGCTCTGTGAAGTTGTCTGGTGTTCATTGACTGGGCCACCATCATGCACTAGTTCCTGCCAAGAGTTATATTTCTCATTGCCAGATTGGACAGTTCAATAAAAATATATTAAAATCGGGCAGCACCTGTGGCTCAGTGGGTAGGGCACTGGCCCCATATACCGGGGTGGTGGGTTCAAACCCAGCCGAATTGCAACCAAAAAAAACATCTGAGCATTGTGGCAGGTGCCTGGTGTCCCAGTTACTCAGGAGGCTGAGGCAAGAGAATCGCCTAAGCCCAGGAATTGGAGGCTGCTGTGACCTCTGACGTCACAGCACTCTACCAAGGGCGATAAAGTGAGACTCTGTCTCTACAAAAAAAAAAAAATTTTTTATATATATATATATATGCACATATATATATTAAAATCAGGCAGCGCCTGTGGCTCAGGAGTAGGACGCCAGCCCCATATACCAGAGGTGGTGGGTTAAAACCTGGCCCTGGCCAAAAACAGCAAAAAAAAAAAAAAAGAAAAAATACATACATACATACATATAAATATATATATTAAAATCATCAAGTGATTTATAACAGCTTTCATTATTGAAACAACAAAGAAATAGCAATTGTGGTCCTTAAGGCTCTGCGCCTGTGGCTCAAGCAGCTAAGGCGCCAGCCACATACATCTGAGCTGGCGGGTTTGAATCCTGCCTGGGTCCGCCAAACAACAATGATGGCTGCAACAAAAAATAGCCAGGGCGTTGTGGCAGGAACCTGTGGTCCCAGCTACTTGGGAGGCGGAGGCAGGAGACTCACTTGAGCCCAGGAGTTGGAGGTTGCTGTGAGCTGTGATACCACTGCACTCTAGCCAAGGCAACAGCTTGAGGCTCTGTCTCACAAAAAAACAAAAAACAATTACGGTCCTTAAAACAGAAGACTCCATGGTCCCTTAAAACAAAGGATCTCAGAAAGTCAGGTCACAAAAGAAATCAGATCACCTGCCTCCTCTGAAGGTCACACTATCACACAGTCTCAAGAGACAGCCCTAGTAAGGACAGGGTATAGTCAAAGAGGAGTTAACATAATCTTTGTAGTGAGGCATGTTCTTGTAGAGATTTCGGATACATACTAATCTCCTCCCTGGGAAATTTCAAAAATGGGTCATTTATTTGTGGAGTTAGGAGTTAGAGCTCATAGTCCCTTGGACAAGTGAAAATTACTTGTAATGAAGAGGGGAGCAGTGACACAGATCATCTAAAATGGCAGTCAATCTAAAATTCATTTATATTTGGTTTTAGGATGTGCTTTGAGATTTGCCTTTGAACATGAATTTTAGGGACGAACTGGTTAAGATATTATAATGCTTCCGAAAACAGACTGAAGTCATCATGAGAGTCTGACTCTGGAGGAATAGGAAAGTTGTCCCAGAATCCTCATCATCCTTTTTTCCATTCCAGACACTCACACTAACTAAAATAAAGCACCAGCCTCAGTGGAACACAGAAAATATATTAAATACAAGAAACATGTATCCGATTATTGAATAAAGATTCACCTATGATATACAGTTGTTCCTTGGTATTGCATAGCAGATTGGTCCCAAGACCTCCCAAGGATACCAAAAATGCACAGTTGCTCAAGTCCCTGATATAAACTGGTGGACTATTTGCATACAACCTATATGCACCTTCCTGCACACAGTCAGGCGTCACTTAATGACTGAGGATATGTTCCCAGAAATGTGTCATTAGGCACAGCATCATCGGTGAGCATGACAGAGTGTGCTTACCCAACTCTAGATGGCACAGCCGACCACACTCCTAGAATATACAGTAGAGCCTGCTGCTCCTCAGCTACACACCCAGACAGCTTGTTACCATGCCAAGTCCTGTACACAGCTGTAACATATGACAGGTATTTGTATATCTAAACATAGAAAATGTCCAGTAAAATACAGCATTATAATCTCATGGGGCCACTTCTGTATATGTGCTCTGTAACTGGAACATCGTCATGCAGCACAGGACTGGAAATCATCTCTACGTAACATATGATACCTATTGAAATGTAAATGTTGTGTACGTAAGTCTACATGCTCAGGACAGATGTACTTTCTTTGAATATTTTTTCTTTTCTCTTTTTCTTTTTTTTGAAGATGGGGGTCTTCTTATGTTCCTCAGGCGAGTGTGGAACTCCTGGCCTGAAGCAATCCTCCCCTGTCTCAGCCTCCTGAGTAGCTGGGATCACAGACAGGAACTGCTGTGTGGCTTTCAGATATTTTCAACGCATGGTTGGTTGAACCCACGAACGCAGAACCCACTGATGTGGACGGCAGACCTCAGTTAAGTCTGAGGTGATGAACTCTGAATGAAACAAAATCAAACTGGAGGAAAACACAATTCCTTTACCCCAGTACAAGCCCATTCAAATCCCTGTGACTCAGTAACATTCAAAAGCTAGCGGATGAGCCACTTTCTCCTTAGCATCCTGCAGTAGAACACACAGGAGAAAAGCCCGCAGTCCAGAACTCTGTCCCGAGAAGTCCCGCTTCAGCTCCCACTCAGACATCATAAGCAGCCAAGTTCTAGGCAAGAAAAATGGAGGTTTATTTCTAAACTAAGATGCCTGACAAATCACGGGAATATGTCATGCCACGAAGTGGAAAATGCTTAAAATATTCCCAACATAGTATTTTTTGATTTCCCAATCATTTCTTCAGAATGAACAAGCAGTTAGTAACTGACTTAGATCTGAAAATTCAACCTGACTATGACAGGTCAGCTGTTCATAATGAATTAATGGCCTTTAGCATATTCACAGAGCTGCACGCCCATCACAATTTCAGAACATTTCACTATCTCAGAAAGTAACACTTTGCCTCTTAGCCATCACACCCAACCTTCACCCCCGCCCAGCTCCTGCTAACCACTCCCACTCCAGATATAAAGACCCAGGCAAGTCTATTTTCATGCTCAAGTTTAATGAAGAATAGACAGCTCTGTAGAATGTGGTTGCACAAAGGGGATGATCTAATGGGATCTATTCAGATTCTTCTTGTCCTCTGGATATAACACTTCTTCCTCCTGAGTATGGGGCAGGGCCCCTCTGGAAGGACAGTCTTCTGGAGAAAAGACAGGGAATAATCTTTCTGGGGTTTATGGCTTACTTTGAGGAAAAGGAGTTCTAGTTTCTATGTTTTAGCTTGGGGCAGAGGATCAATTTTAGAACATTTTATAATGTTCATACAATCAATTTTAGAACATTTTCACTACCTGAAAAAGTAACCCCACACCTCTTACCCAGCAGACTCAATCCTCTATCCTTTCTAGCTCAAAGCTTATCTACTTGCTATCTCCACAAATTTGCCTATTCTGAAATTTCATACCAATGGAATCATACAACATGCAGTCCTTAGACAGGCTTCTTTCACTTGGCATGCTTGCAAGGCTTGTCTATGTTGGAACATGTACCAGTACTCTTATTTCTTTTTTTTACATTTTTTTCTAAAGTATTCACATATCACTCCACTGTATAGATACGTAAAATTTTATTTAGCAATTATCAGCTGATAGCTATTTAGGCTGTTTCCATTTTTGGCTACTATGAATAATGCTGTCATAAATCATGGAAACCAGAATTTCTCTTCCCCAAGGGAAGAGAACCAAGCTAAACTTGTTAGAAATATAAATTGTCAGTATTCTCAGGTTATCTATAGTCTATTCTATAGACTTGGTTAGGAGAGAAATCCACCCAACCGTTTTTAATAAGCCTTCCAGAAGATTCTAAGGCAAACTAACATTTAGGAAAGTTGTGAGAATCCAAATGGAGTCACTTGTGTTAAAAAATCCTGACAAACAGAGCCAAGAATGGCTATGAAGAGAGATTTTCATGCATAAATGCCTGATAACAAAAACTGTCACAGAAGAGTCTGCAAAAACTGCAACCTTGTGCAAAGGCCATAGCAAAATATATTTCTGCAAGGACATCTGTGCAGCAATTACCTGTCCAACTTTGGAGTAGCGTCACCCTTGTTATTAATCCTTGTAGCCAAGTATAATTATCCTAAAACAATTACATAATCCTCACTTTTCCTTTAAAAACCTTTGCCTTCCCTAGCTCAAGTGGCTAAGGCGCCAGCCACA